AAAATGTAATACAAACTTATGTGATTATATAGGGGTTGTGATTATATAGGAGGTGATTATAGAGGGGGATAACTGTACAAAATTTTATACATCTCTAAATATTTATTAAACAAATTAAAAAATTTTATTAAGTAAATTTATTCTTTATAATAAAATATAACTATATATTACAAAAACTCATTTTTGAAAAAAAAAACAAATATGGTGCGTTTCTACTAACTCACCCCCATATACTCCAGGCCTTTGTGTAACTTAACCCCGGATGAGTTCTATCCTCAACTTTCTCAGCGTACAAGTTATCTAATTTATTATTAACAAAACATCTACATCAATATGGACAAATAAATAGGCTGTGTACACCTCCACTTTAGCATTCTTTGGTAAAGTTTTTTTTTATTTTTTTCTTTAACTTTTGAATAAAATACTAGGGTAGTAAAAATGACTACTTGTCAACGCAAAATGTTAGTTGTAGCTAGGATCCTGTATAGCATCGTGGTTAAGTTTTATTTGGCAATAAACAAATCATAGAAAAATGGCAATAATCAAATGCAAGTTTTGTGCAAAAATAAAAAAAAAATACGGATTTTTTATGCGTGTAATTTTTTTTTAAAAAAAAAATCAAAAGGCGTTCAAATACGTTCGACAGTGTATTAGCTAGTTATAAAAAAAAATTAACATGTATATAAGGCAAAAATTAAATAAATCATAAACTTCCGTTTTGTCAAAAAATTGGCGTTACTTTTAAGCCGCCCTGAGGCATTCTGAGCGAAAGTTCGGACATTTTAATTTACAAAATTTCCTTTTGGGTTTGTGTTACTCGTGCAAATAAAAATCACATTAATCTCCAAGAAACCAGTGTTGGAAATTCGATGTTCTCATGTTCATATAAAACATCATACCTAATTTGAGAGTATTCCCTTTAAAAAGTGTTCTCTTATATTAATTATTCATGAGAACATTAATTTGAGTAAGCTCAATATAAATGAGACCATTTTTTTAAAAAATTTGAGAACATTAAATTTAAAAATAGTTCTCCTGTAGTTAAGTTCTACATGTATGCAAAACATTACCAACGGGATCATACTGTACACTTAAAGAGAAATTTTAAAGACTACAGTTAAATTCATTTAAAAGAGCAGACTGTTACAAACTTAATAATACATAGAGGGAGGTTGTATCCATAAAAACAAATACTTGTATACATAAAGCACTTAGGCGAAGTTTAAAACAGATAAGAATTCTGTATATTTAAGTTTAAATCCTCGAAAAAAAATTGATTTTCTTCTGACAAAATCCAAATATTCAAACTTTATTTAAGATAAGATTGAATATCCCAGATAAAAGATTTAAAAGATTTAAAAATGAAAAATAATAGAAAAACTTTTTAGGCAAAAAAAAAATAAAATAAAATAATAAATAAATCTGAATATAAATGTAACAAAAAAAAAAAAAAAAAAAAAAAAAAAAAAAAATTGGCAAAAAGTTAAGGAACGAAAAATCTATCCATAAAAAGAAAAAAATATTGGCAAATCTTAGATACTAATTCATCATGTTGTTTGGCGGTATAAGCTTATTCTCCCTCATCTTACACGAATCGCACAAATAAAAAAGGTATTCCACCCGCGCACAAATACATAAAAACCAAAATATCCAAAATGGAAAAATACATGCTGCAAATAGTCAAAGAAACCTAGCTCCGTGTGCCGGTGCGTTTTCTTCATCATTATTGCACCGTATACAAGGCTTTATTACTTCATCATACCAAGATAATAATAACGGTATCGTAGTATTTAGGTGTAGGCCGGCTGTAGTGACCCGCAAAGAAACTTCCTTAGGAAACGCCATACGGCAGTGACCAGCTTCAATAATCTCTGAGACTTTTTTGAGTGTATCTTTCCATCTGTTTAATTAATGGATATATCGGTTTCAATAATAACATAGCAAAATGTATATGTGGTTTGTGTGTATGTGAAGCTTTTCCGATGGGATTGGTTCTGATTTTTGATGTCATGCTGGTAAGTTGGAGAGTAATTATGGATCATACTAAGAAGCGAATTATGAAAATAAATTAACGAATCTATAAATAAAATAAATATATGATATAAAATTTTTCACGAAAGCAGCTTGCGTGGAGTAAAAGTATATCAAGGCAAAGGTAATAACAAAAAAAGAAGCACAATGCGAAGGAATAGATATACATTATTAACAATAATGTAATTCCGACTTGACAACTGTACTCATAATGATAAAGTATAGAATGTTTGTGTATTCAAATCCTTCTCGGAAGGAAACTATATGAGATGCAGCGTGGAGAGGATTTAACTAATGGTGGGACTGGAGGCACAGCGAACTCATCAACGTCATCATTCTGATAAGTTCCAACAACCCAAGAACCATCTTTAAAACCGAAGGGCAAATTAAATTTTCCAATATACTTGTTCTTTAGCCCAAGCCAATATTTGAACATAATTGTCAGAACGGTTGTTAATACCTTGGTCTTTATAAATTTTGATTGAGCTACTCGTCATACGCCGCGTGAAGGACGGAGGAGGTCGTATTGTATAATGGATAGGAGTATAATGTTGCTCCAAGTTATGGCTAAACTTGATAATCTTTTTCTTTTGTTTAGGTTCAATGGCTTGAGAAACATATGAATGATAATTTGCAAAGGACTTTCCATTAGGATTAGAATGTTTTAAATTAATCAACATCATTTCATAAGTGTAGAAAATAAGGTCTTTTAATGAATAATATTCTACGAATATCTTTAAAGTAAGAATAATGCAAATGGAAGGAGTGCTCAGTGGAGGAGTTAAAAGATCAAAAGAACTAGGCAATGGAGATGCGACGACACCCAAAAATGGGCGATGGTGTACAAGTGTCAGGACTTCCGACCCAAATTTTGCCATCATATCCATGAACGGATTATAATCAAGTTGGTAAAAAAGGCCTATATATAGCAGGTATAATAATGGTACACGTACACATAATGGTTAGAACTCGCCAAAAAGGAAAAATGCAATTGGTTGTGTGCTTATTTATAACGTGATAAAATAATAAATACTGCAAAGTGATAATGATAAAACAATGACAATTCAGGTAAAATCTTTTCATAATACGTATAGCGTTTTAGATGTTACGCAACTAGTAATTTTCGAGGGAATGAAAAAAAAAACAATCTTTTATCTTACCATTTCAAAGTTTTCGGAGAAGTTAGTTGCCTTTTTCTACGCAACAAATTTTAAAACCTATACGTCTTCGAAGAGCATTCTCCATATAAATTAACCGTTTTTTTTTTTTTTTTTGTTTTTTTTTTTTTTTTTTGTTTTTTTTTTTTTTTTTTTTTTTTTTTTTTTTTTTTTTTTTTTTTTTTTTTTTTGTTTTTTTTTTTTTTTTTTTTTTTTTTTTTTTTTTTTTTTTTTTTTTTTTTTTTTTTTTTTTTTTTTTTTTTTTTTTTGTTTGTTTATTTTTTTTTTTATTTTTTTAATGAGAAAATTAGAAAAAAAAAAAGTTTCGTTTTAATAAAAGGAAACAACGGTTTGTTTAAAAGTAAAACCCAAGAGAATATCGGTTGGGTGTATAGGCTCTTGAACTATTGTTTCTGGCGTTGTAACAAACGGATCAGTAGTACCTTGATCTAAAATTTTAAATTTTTCGTCTGCTGCAAGAGTATCGAAAGATTTAGTGTTCATAACTTTTTGTTTTATTTTTATTGATCTATTTGTTGTAGCTTATTAAGCACAAAAATTCAAAGGGATCTGCAGTTTTTAAATTGAAGGAAAGATGTAAATAATATTTATTTTATTTCTACGAAGTAAGCGTGAAATATAAGGAGACAATTATGAAAGGGAAGAAGAATATTAATTCTTCTGATTTTTAAAGAAAAAAAACAAGTGAAAAAGAAGTTTCTTTTTTTTCGCTGTTAATTAATACAATTTACGACTAACAAATAAAGCAATAATCGCTAATGCTAATATATTTAAATTTATTCGGGCTTTTTTTTACCCACGGAATTTCCGTAATTTCCGTATTCCGAGCGGTACGACGAAAAAATACTTAGCATGCAAACAATTAATTGATCTTATACTAAATAGGTTAAAATTTTATTATTTGGCAATGCTATATAAATTTCATATTGATACGTATTACATTTTTATCTATCTACTATCTAACTTTGTTATACGAAATAAATTAATATCACATGAGATATTGTCCTTCTGGACAAGGTATCACGTGTTTTGTTGTGCAGTTTTCATAATTTCGTCTTTTATATATTTAATTTTCTTTATGCTTAACCTCGAAATAGAGTCAGCAGAAAAAGATTTTACCAATTCTATTTTTTCGACACCAATATCATTAAAGAAAGAATAAATCTTCTGGGCTCTTTCTTTTCTTTTATTACGGGCATTCTTAGTAGTACCAGGTAGTTGTTTTTCAAGTTCTTCATTAACCGCCATTTGAGCTTGGTGTACATTGAAAGATTTATCAGAGTAATATTTGAAACGTTGAATTAAAACTTTCCCGAACAAATAATAAGATTTTATAACTTCTCGATTTGCGATCTCCTTACGAATTTCGGCATTGGTGATCTTATTATATAAATGAAGCAAATTTTCAGAATTCTCACTTTCTTCTTCCCAAATTTCGGTTATTCGTGGATTTTCAGCGGTTAACTCCTTGATAAGTCGTTTCAATTCACTAGGTCTTTTGCGGGATTCTTCTCCTGAGGAAGATTATAGGAATAGAAATAGGCGTTAATAATGTTTTACTAACAAATAACAGGGATGATAAATGACCTATTTAGCAGTCAAAATTAATTAATTATTAAATAAAATTTTAATTTTTATTTTATAACTAGGAAAATGCGTAGCATTGTTAGATCCAAACGCGTGAATATGCATATTTCGTTACACTAAATTAACAAATTTGAACACGCGTGCGGACAGACAAAAAATTTCCAAATTACGTTTCTGATATGATCTTTATAATATTTATGTAAATGCATCAAAAAAAGCAACTTTTTGGGAAAGAAGTGCTACGCTCCGGATCAATTAATAAATATTGCTATATATAAAAGTCAAAATTTTACTAAGTTAATCGATATTTATGTCTTGAGTAAAGTTTGTTCAGGATAACAAATTGCATATACTCTGGAAGTTTTATATATAATAATAAGTTTTATTAAATAACTTTCGTGTTTTATAAAAAAATTTTTAAATTTTTATATAAACATAAAACACGAAAGTTATTAATAAAAACTTATTATAATTATATTAAACTTCCAGAATATATGAAAATTGTTATCCTAAACAACTTTACTTAAGGCATAAATGCTGATTAACTTAATAAAATTTTGACTTTTTACATAGCAATATTTATTAATTATTGAAATAAAAAAAAAATTAATATATTTGTAACCATGGTTATTGTAACCGCAACCCTGTAAAGCCAATCAAATTTCAGGATCAGGTGTAACGTGAAATACTAGTTTTTTTAAAGAAATCGCTAATAATTCAACATTTTGCTTATGAAACTATCTTTCGCGTTAAAATATGCCCTGCCCTCACCCTAATCTCTAGCTAACCCTGACCCTAACTTCAAAAAAGAAAGATTGTTTTGATTTTCACGTTACACCTGATCTTCAAATTTTAATAGATAAACCATGGCTACAAATATAATATTAATCCTAAAAAAAATTTAATTTCATTTTATAACCGGTCATTATATGATGACTCGAGGTCAAATTAACCAGGTCATTTACCCATCCCTGACAAATTGTGATGATTTACTAAAACAATTTACTAACCATTATTTCGAGTCAAATTATTAGGAGTGTTTATGATTCTTTTTTCTATTCCTAGAACCGTTTCAGTTGTATCCTCGCACACACACAACATAGCATTAATTGTACCATCCTTTTCGCGAATCGGAGACATTAAGTAAGTGTAGTAGCGTACTTCGTAATGCTTATCTTCAATAATCAGATCTTCGTAAAGATAGTTATGTCTAAATAAAGTTTCTCCCTTTAAAATACTTAATTTTAATAAGTGATTTAATAATTATTACGTATAATAAAATAATAAAAAAATTTTAATATAATTTGTGATATTTACAGTCCATACTCTGATTTCATATGGAGATATGTGCCAGGTAAAGATTCCTTAAACGCTTTTCCAAATGCAGATGCTATTTAATATTAAAATATCAATTGAATTTAGCCGTCTTTTACGTTAATACAAAGCTATGTGACTATCAGTGTTTAGAATTCAGCTTCAAAATTATGTTCTCAAACGAACTAAATTTAGATCATTAATGTTCTCAAAATTTTTTTAATGTTCTCTTTATATAAAATATTATTTTTAAATAAACTTATATTTTTATTAAGCAGACCTATCTTAGGTTCTTAAGTAAAGTTGTAAATAGGAACTTTCTGATTCTAATGGTACTTTAAACTCTAAAATTGGTTCAATATATGGGGTGCCAGTAGAAACCAAGCATTTTGTTTCTAAGTAAATTTTTTTCGGACTTTAAATTAAAATATCTCAACAACTATTAAACTAAATAAAATTTTTTTATTTTAATTCTATATAGTTATAGAATCAAATAAAAAAAAATTCATCAAGTTTGGTTTAATAGTTGTCAAGATATTTTAATTTAAAGTTTTAAAAAAACTTACTAAAAAACAAAATGCTTGGTTTCTACTGGCACCCTTCCATATAATGAGATATTCATATTTTAATTTTTGCGACTATAGATTTTTTCTTAAAGATCTTGCAAAAATTAAAATATGTATTTCTCATGATCTACTGAAGCGATTTTAGTGTTTCAAATACCATTAAAATCAGAAAGTTCTTATCTACAACTTTATTTAAGGGCTTAAAACAAATTAGTTGTTTTATTATTTAGTAATAATAATATTTTTTTAAGAACATTTTATTCTTGCAAACAGTTCTCAAATAGTTTTTAAAAAATTTAACTAGAACATCGAATTTTAAACATTGGTGACTATACTAACCAGATGAATGCATATACCCTACAACTGGTATCTTTTCTATAGAGTCTTGATTAAATATAATTAGATATTTAGAAAATACGCAATAACTAACGGCAGATAAATTATTTTGTACGTACTTTGATTGTACATAAAAATAAAATCATCTCCGTCTCCGTAATAAATTCCAACAGAATTCGATGACCCAAGGCAATACTCCTGACAAATTAAGCATTATAAGGCTAAGTTTTATTTCATAAATTAAAGAACTAATGATAAACTTACAACAGCCTCTTTGAATGAGGAACCCCAAATCTCTTTAGGGCCAAGTAATGTCACAAAATCTTTCATGGTTATTTCATTCTTCGCTACATCCATATTTACCGCTGTTAATTATGACCGAATTAGGACGATTATTAAATTCGTATTTCAGATATTTATGTTTGATATTTCTCAAATATACTGTTATTGGTTTAAAAAAAACGAAAATTGACTATTTTGGTCCAAACATAGTGCAGGATCACTAATCAATCGTAATCAATATTTTCTATACAGTACTGCAGATAGGGTTGTTACAGAAATTACAATTTTACATTCCATGTAATTTTACGTAAGTTTCAGTAACTTGAATTTCATATTTATTAAATATGCAAATGTGTTTATCATAAAATTTATTGTATTTATAACAATACGTACAATAAATGAATTTTATTCTTCAAAATGATTATCGATTTTTAGAATACTATTTATATTCTGTGATATTTAATACGTGCGATTTTTAATTTTATGACATAAAAATCGTCTGAACACAGCGACCGGAGTTATGTTAAGAAATTACAGTACATAATGAAAATTAGCTTACCGAAAACTTACGCAAAATTACAGTAATTTGACAACCCTAACTGCAGATCGACGGTAATGTAATATGATACGTACTATAGAGCACTAATTAAAGGTGTCGTATATGGTTAATAAAAAAAAACTGCACAACGTACGTACGTATTTTGTGATACAGCTTCTGATCTTAGTGTACTTGAGCTAGACTTTTTTGGGGGTTGGCTAAAAAAGCGCAGTTCTAAAAAATCATCTAATTTAACGCCTATCTAATTAGTATTAGAGTTAGGGCATTTTCACGTAATACGTACTACACAAATTAGTGTAACATAATATTTAACCATGAAGTAAACTCTACTATAGTGATGGGACCCAAATACTTTCGGCACTGATTGGGACTTACGGCAGTTTTCGATCGGGATTTGGGCTTTTGTCGAAACCCAAATGTAATCCCAAATCCCAAATACAATCCCAAATCCCAAATATAATCCCAAATCCCAAACATACTTCATATTCCAAAAACATGAACACAAACCCCAATGATAAAAATTTTACTATGATATGATCGCTGATTCAAAATAAATGCCAATTTTAATAAATATAATGACGTTTTTACTGTAATAAATATAATGATACTTTTTATAATGATGTATTTTGACTACTTAT